GTGCGTGTGTGGTGTGCGTGTGTTTGTGTTTGTGTGCGTGTGCGTGTGTGTGCGCGTGTGCGTGTGCGTGTGCGTGTGCGTGCGTGTGTGATGTGTGTATGTGCTTGCGTTTGTGTGCGTGTGTGTGTGTGTGTGCGTGTACGTGTGCGTGTGCGCGTGTGTCGTGTACGTGTATGTACGCGTGTGCGTGTGTGTGCGTGTGAGTGTGCGTGTGCGTGTGGTGTACGTGTGCGTGCGCGCGTGTGTGTGTGTGTGTGTGTGTGTGTGTGTGTGTGTGTTTGTGTAAGTGCGTGCGTGTGCATTTCCGTGTGCATGTACATGTGTAATGAAGCAAATTCAGTCATAATTAGTTATTAGAAATTACATCGGTAGACTCGGTGTCAGGCACTAGCCGCGGGGGACCAATTCGTCACCCGCCTCATTAGTGTCAAACGACTAGGCCAGTGGTCAGATACCCCCCCCCTATCTTCGGTAAGTGTGAACGCTGGCCTTATTTTGTGGGCTAGTTAGCCTTGGGAATTTGTCCACTCGTAGCACTACTCAAATCACGTGGTACATCCAGAATTGTATAAATAAGGACACTTTTGAACAGAAAGTCAGAGTTCATATTCGCTTGTCCAGATGTGAGTATAGTTTACCTAGCATTGACTTGTTTATCTTGTACTGTTTGCATATGTGTTTAAACTCTATTGAACAATAGTATTTGTCTGTAAACTACTTTGAGTTTGTAAACTATCTTGAGAATTGTGTATGTGTATCTTCTAGTTACGACAACGAACGTGTACGTGACATTTGCCCCTAGAGGGTTTATAGCATTCTCTGTACTACTCGGTGAAAGACAAATAGAACTATTTGTTGTACGTTACACTTTGTGTTTATCATACGTTTTTCCACGTCTGTCTACTAATCGTGTTACCTAAGGGTATTTATTACACGTGCCAAAAGACACGAACCTGATACACTATACGATCATAGCTGCATTACAGCTGATGCCGTGACAAACGTTTTGGTAAGGTAGCATAATTATTAGACAGATACTGTTTGTTTCTAATATACGTGTTTTTTCCTCTGTATATACTCGGTGTGTCCGTATACAATTTGCATTCGTGAGCGCAAATACGAAATCGACGTGTTGCCGCTGCCGTGATAAATCACCATGAAATTGTAAGTGCACTTTTATGCTTGTATATTGCCGCGTGGTTGGACTGCGCATAATTTTGCATTGTATCTACTATTAGATATACCCTTTATCAGAATAGTATACCCTAAACTGTGTAACATTACTTTCACGTTTAACTATGGCGACTACCCACCCCCTGCTATCTGAAACTAACATTGATCGTTCGTTAGACCTATCGGACGATGAAGCTGAAGTTTCATTTCCTTAACTACCTATGCAACAGTTAGTTAAGAAAATACAAGGATTATTACTTGTATCAGGTTATCGTGAGTATAACGGTACAGATAATACGCCCGTTACCTTTACTCAGTGGGCCCACAATATTTCCCACTTGTTTATATTATTGGATGAGACAGAAGATAAACGACGTGTTTGACTCGCACTTCGTTTACTTGGTGGAGAGCCCGCTAATTATGCGGCAGAAATTTTAAGCGTGTCTCCTGCTATAACGTGGAAACATTTCTTTAAAATATTAGACAGCGTTATACAAATGCGAGCGAAGCGCCGCTTGCTCTTCAGAAATTTAAGAAACTAAACAAAGACAGTTAGAATCTGTTTCATCATTTGCGAAAAGATTAGAACAGCTAGGTAAAATGGCTTTCGGTCAATTAAATGATAACGATGTAAGTCTACAACTTAGATTAGTCAATTCTTTCACTGACGGCGCCAGACTCTTTAAAGAAATTTTTGGTTTGACACAAACCAGCTACGTTTCAAAAAGCTGTACAAATTGCTAATGATGTGACGGTATTGAAAATGGAGGTTAAAATGCGAACGCAGAAAGCGAACGACGCAACAGACGTCTCTCTGATCTCAGTAACAGAGCCACTGACAATACAGCGACAAATTAATGATATACGGAATATCGTATCAGATTTACGACAGACATATGACAAAGCTATGAGACCGGACAGACAAACATCTAACTATTCACAGCCGCAGCGTAATTATCAAACTAATAACCCTATACGTAATTTTAACTGGAATCAACGTGAAAATTTCTCTCAACGTCAAACATTTACTAGATCACGTTAGCCGTTCATGACGCCAGCCCGCCCACCGCCACATTAACCTGCTCGATTTAATTATTCCCCACAAGGACAACCTCAACAATTACCCCGCGTCGAGATACCAAATTTTTCTATACCTCAACAGGGGTTCCAATCTGCACGCTTTGTAACGCCGCAGGGCATCTTTGGGCAAATTTTCCACGCCAACAACAATTTCGCTCGTCGGTAAATGGTTACACCGGTCTCCGCCAAGCGAGACAATTAGATCGGTGAATTTTACAATACCATCTCGCTCTTACTTAAACAAAAATATATCTAAGACGTCCCCGTTTACGACAAACACTAACAATTTACCTATATGTTTCGCGTCAGTCGCAGAGAGAGACATTCACGCACTTATAGATTCGGGCTCCGTAGTTTCTCTTGTAAGTGAATCATTTTGGCAACGCGTTAAGTCAAAATGTAGACACACCTTTTCCTCAACTCGTACTCAAATTTTGAAATCTAATAGTGGCAGAGATCTTTTTGTTCTCGGTAAAACGGTTCTACCTATTTCGATTGCTAATCTCACAGTTAATCATACATTCTTTATAGTACGAGACCTATATCAAACCATTTTAATTAGATTTATTTTTCTCCAGTGCCATAGGGCTATATTAGATTGTGCGCAGCAACTGTTGATAATAAATAAGTCCGCCATACCATTCTTAAACTCAAAGGCGGCACAAACATTTATAGTAACCACTGCGAGTAATATTCCAGTAAAGTCTACACGTATGTGTAACGGTCATTTACAACAACAAAGGACTAACATCATTGCCTCATACAGAAAAGATATAGCAGCAGCCTTACACTCACCAGATATATAGCGTATATCCCATACTAACCCTGCACGCACGTTTACAAAGACATGTCTACACACTACACGACACTCCCAC